TTCCATTGAATTTCACATAGCCTTGCTTTCCCAAAAGTTGTTCTCATCCTTAAACGAAATTGTGTGAATAAAACTAATATTGAGAATTTACTTTATTTTCCGAATTAATTATTGTTTTTGAGATTAGCAGTAAATCAGTAGTATGAGATGTATTCACCCAATTTCGTTTAAGGTGATGAAGGACTGGTAGAAGAATAATTTTCCCACAATGATATGAGTTGAGCTTGACACACTGACCACTCGGCTACACTGCCACGACTACCCTTGAGTCACAGGGCAAATGTGAATTTCAAGGAAGATCAGGCCTCTTTGCTATATCATATTCTTTGGTAGAAGTGCCGTATAAGAGTAGGGTTTCGTGACTACCAGTAAATCAGTGATATGAGATGTCGCGGTCCGACTCCCGCTGGGGTTGTTGATAAGACCGATGCGAGGTCGAGACTGCAGTCCACTTCAGCCAGGATGAGAACAACTTTTGGGAAAGCAAGGCAATGTGAAATTAAATGGAAACGTCAGCTCAACTGATATGATTGTGGGAAAATTGTACTACCAGTCCTTCAACACCGTAGAAAAAATAGGGTGAATACATTTCATTTTACTGATTTACTGGTAGTCTCGAAACCCTACTCTCACACGAATATGAATAAGTTAGTCATTTCTGATAATGACTAAGTGTGCTTCGAAAATGTGCACTGGGAGCAATCATAATGCTTGACCATGCCCTTGTGGCCATTCCTTGTAGCAGAAATTTGTTCCCCATGAATTCCGTTTAAGGTGATGAAGGACTGTAAGTTGCATTTTTTTCACAATCACGTGAATGAGTCTCACATTTTTATTAAATTTTGCAGAGCATTGCTTATCAAAAAATTTTTTTATCCAGGCACTAGTGGACTGCAACTTCGATGAAACGAAATAGGGTGATACAGGATCTATTCGGGATCTACCGGTAGTCTTGACAACCTACTTAACAACGAAAATCCATGTTTCACTTTTTGCATTAAAATAAGCGACTTTGGATGATCCAGGCTCATTCTTCAGATCTGCTGAACTCTTTAAAGCATACACATTCGACACAATTAAAGCTATTGGGTATGAGATGTCCCGCAAGACATACACTCCCATTCCGAATGAACTTTCCACGGTTTAGGCTGTGAGGAACAGAAGCAGGCATCTTTGACAGTCGGTCCTCCTTTTTGCCTCAGTTCGTCGTAGGTTGAGTTGCTAAGCAACTATTAGATCTGATTACTGGAACAATTCTTTAAAGGCGAGTTCAGTCTTCAGGCAACTTGCTGGCAAAGACATGAGTGACCCGTTTCCACATCTGATGGGGCTATTCGAGATTGTTATGAAAAGACGCGGAATGTGTGAAAATGAGGTCAAGCCAAATCTGCTGTTACCAAGGCGATGATGACTGGTCCGACGGCAATGCGCATGAGGTTGGGGAACTTGAAGACAATTCCTCTACATTGTTGCACAGGAAACCTGATTTTTGATACAATTTTGTCCAGGGCGTACAGGTCATGCTTGATGGTGCGGCGGTCCTGGAAACTTCAGAATCGGATGGTTCTTCTTGAGTAAATGGTAGAGATCGGAGAATTTTCACTTTGAGGCCTCTAGTGCTCACTCGCCGTCAGAGAGGCATCAACTTCGGGCACACTTTGAGGCTTCACAATTCTTAAGCCCAATCGTTTTACTTTGCCAGTTGGAAGCCGATAAGAGACCGATACAAGTAGCAAGTAGCAAGTAGTAATTAGTAAGTAGTAAGTAGTAAATAGTAAGTAGC